AATATATAAACAAATTTGTGAAATTACTATTATTAAATATATTCCAAATCTGATTTTTCTTAATAAATTAATTTAATTTATTTCCAAGTTGTTTTAATAGCAGTGAAACATTGTGAGAGGAATATTATGAATTTTATAAATAACTGATATGAATGTTTTACATTCGTCATTCGAATAGTCGAGTAATTGTACATGAGACTATTTGCGTAATGTTTTATATGTGTAATAATAATAATGTAATTATTATACTTTAGATATACTACGAATTTTCCAAAAGTATGGGATTCGAACGTTATATTACTAATTAGAACACAATTATCAAATATTAATAACAAGATTATATCACGTGTTCAAGTTATAAAATATAAAAATGTATGAAAGTTGCGTATGAAAGTAGTCAAGTGAAATTAGTTCTAAAACTCCATCCTGATATGACTTACAATATGATAATGTTAGTAATCTATGTTTCAAACACAAATGTAATTTTTTTATATGTATGTACATGTGAAAAAGAATGAAAATGTACAATGTGCGTGCGTGCGTGCGTGCGTGCGTGCGTGTGTGTGTGTGTGTGTGTGTGGGAAAGCGAGTGTGATAGCGATAAAGAGAGCGCAAAAAGAAAAAAGCAACGAAGAAGACGAAAAGAAAAGAAAAGAGAAAAGCATGTAAGAAGACACATTTGGTGTGCTGTGCGATGCAATTTCATGTATAGTGATATATGCAATGTACAATATATACTACGTACAACGAGAGCCTGCATCGAAAATTACAAACGTGCGAGCAATCAATTTCCTGTTATTTTCTACGTTATTAGTTTATTCCTTATATCAGTAACTATATTTTTAGATTTATATGAAAGTTAATAAGCAACTTTGTAAATTATATTAAGAAAGATGAAATAAAAAAATATAAAAAACGGTAACAGCTGTAACATATTCACTGAAAAAGCGTCTTACAAGACTAAAGAATAAAATTACATTAAGAATACTACATTTAACTTGTATTTTGTATTTATATAAACAATGATTTGTATGTATGATTAATTTAAATTAAATATTAATTAAAATTATAAATCGCAACTTTTGCAGTTTTAGTATATTTATAATATATTTTACAAACTATAGGTAGAGTAAATATTTATACTATATAGCAAATTTTTTTAAGATATAATTTTATAAATTATATAAAATGTGTAGAGATAACTACAGTTGCAAAATCAATTTACAATAAATTTAAATTAACAATAATACTTATTATATTAAATATGCAACGCAATATTTCAGTCTGAACTGAAATATCGACTGAGACAGTAAATCCTTTTTTTTGGAAGAGTACTGCTAAAGATATATAGCCGACAGTAGTTAACTTATCTGCTCGGATAAAAGGAAATTTATATTAATGAAATTGTAAAATAAATTCTGGACACATATTTAATACTGATAGATTTTATTATAGTACATTATTAAAAAAAACAAAAAATTAAATTGCACGATACGCAATGATGGTATTTACCAACTGCTAGTTTCTTCTCGTACATTTATAATCTTTCAATACTTTTATCTAGATGGCGCAAGAGCTTCTACACAAACACGTAGAACGAAGAAAGGTAAAAAAAACAGAAATAGTTTAGCATTTCAAATTTTATGTTAAACTTACTGATAAGTCTAAAGTATTGTATAAACTAGGAGATATAAATATTCATAATTTCAAGGAAACCGAAGCCTAGGTTTAAAGATACAAATTTTGAACGTGCCTTTAAGCAACTTAAAGCATATTGACAATGTCCACTATGTTATCTTAATCCTTTGTGAAAGAAAAAAAAAACCTTTGTTTGACGGAAACCATCCGTACACTACAGTTCAAACAGTATGTAACTGAATAAATGAAGATAAGATAATTTCGTGATGGCTTTAAACTATACTGGATTTTCATTTTTTTGCAGAAGAAAGCTTGAACGCAACTAACGTAGAAAAAGTATTAGCAAAAATATTGTTTACATTATGTCTAATTCCTATATATAATTT